CGGAAAAGCAAGAGCAGCATATCTACAACTGAAGAATATCTGGAAATCAAAGCAACTGTCAACCAACACCAAGGTCAGGATTTTTAATACAAATGTCAAAACAGTTCTACTGTATGGAGCAGAAACCTGGTGAACTACGAAAGTCATTATCCAAAAGCTACAGGTGTTTATCAACAGTTGTTTACGTAAAATACTTCGGATGCGTTGGCCAAACATGGTCCGCAACAACCTACTGTACGAGAGAAAAAACTAGATCCCAGTGGAGGAAGAAATAAGGAAGAAGCAATGGAAGTGGATAGGACACACACTGAGGAAAGCACCCAACTGCATCACAAGACAAGCCCCCGCATGGAATCCTCAAGGTCAGAGGTGGGGAATAGGAAGACTAAAGAACACATTACGCCGGGAAATGGAGATAGACATGAGAAAAATGAACAAGAATTGGATGGAACTAGAAAAGAGAAAGAATGCTGTTCGGCGGCCTACGCTCCATTGTGAGTAACAGACCTAAGTAAGTAACTTTATTACATTTAGTTATACTTATCTTAAAACCCAACAACAAGTTTATACTTAGGTTTGATTTTTCATATCATACCAACTTAAGAATATGCCACAACATACATTTGAATCAGTTTAATAACTTAGAACAAGTGTTATGTAGAGTTTACATGATCCTTGACAAATTTAGAAAGAACTTTAATGCTGTTAAAAAAAAATCTAACTGCTCTTTCACTCCGAGTTAAAGATGACTTATTGTTTATCAGTAGTGCTGGAAAATTATCTTTCATAATTTCATTCATATTACTCTTTTATTATTATAGATGGTTGAGGGTGATTAATATGTTGTATAGTTTACATCGCTGATTCAGATTAGTTAAAAAGCGATTATACATCAGAAAGTATTGGACGTATGTTGCGTCCTTGTATGAGAATACTGACATCGATTATGTTGTAAAGGCGCTCTAGTAAGCGGCCCCATGCCAAGAAGGGACAAATTTACAGTGAGTGCTGGTTTTCATTAGTTGTCTGATTAAGGTCACTCAATGACTTATATTGTGAAGTTCTATTGAAATAAAAAGTAAGTAGGTATTACAAAGTATACTGAATATAAGATGAATTCGTCTATATAGTTTACTAATTTCATTTCTTGAGCTAAACAGAAAATATCATTGGATACATTATTCTAGGTGCTACAAATAACGTTTGTTGATAGATGATGAACTATCTGTAATAATTTATATTTAACCAAGCAGAAAATTGAAAATTGCGATGAATTTACCATACTTAGTAGACTGTTGCATTTTTGAAAATGTACGAATAAACATTGGAACTCAAGGTCTAGTGTAAAATAAAAAAAAGACATATATCTGCCCCACTATGACGTGAAGAATTCAACAATTTCCGGGATTATAAACAGGATTAATTATCATTTTAACCTTTCAGTATAAGGACAAATTATGTTTACCACTTAGAAATTATATTCTAAAAGTTTCATGTACTACTTATACTATTTATAAGTAGACGGTATTTTTCAGGAAGTTTCACTAGCTGGTTCTTATTTTCATACTGCGTGATTTAGAATTGGATGCTTCTCATGGGACAAAACAATGTCTGAGGAAACACAAAAATGACTAGATTGAATCCTTTTAATGTTTTTCCTGCCTATTGTATCAAAGCACTAAACAGATATGCGCCACACAAGTTACTTGATTTGTGTGAGGACTGGGATACTGTCCGGGTGCCCAAACCAAAACAGGTGGTTTACTTAGGGGTCACATCCGGAGCCTTCGACATAAAGGTCTGATCCATAAGGCAGTGGAGCAACGTCAGGAGATGCCGTAACATGGTAGCTGGTGAATAACAATTGGTTCATACACCATTTGTTTCTTCAGGATCCTGAAACCCATGTACACTATTGGTTTGGAATGAGGATTTTCCAACTCCCTAAGGTAGATTCTTCGCTTCCACCAACCCGGCCAAAGCGTCGGACATTCGCCCTTCGTCCTCCCAATTTCGTAAGGAACACCCCCCCCCTTATCGAGAAGGCAAACCGAATTGTTCTATCCTTTATCTGTGGATAGAGTACTGCTTTTGTTTATTAGGAATACATTTCCTTATTTGTTAGGTAATCCGTTCATATTCTTAACGATTTAATCTCTCAATTTCACATAGTTTGACTGTAGTAGATGTTGTTCTAACGGAAAAATTTATATGTTGAAGAAAGTATTGTTCAGGAATACTTTATTTGTTTTTTATCAACATTTGCTTTGACAGTACCGCTTTTGTACGCTTTAATAGTATTTTGTACACCGTTCTACATTATACGTAATTTCCGGCAGTTATCACCCCTTGATGTATTCGAACTAAGAAGCGTGTGACTAAAGAATCTGTGGTTATGAAGATATTGAGTTTCCTCAAATTTTCTATCTAGTAGTAAGTATTCGTTAAATCCCAAGACTATAAATATCAGGCAATTCCAAATTTTTTTGAGATTGCGCAAATGTGACACCCTACTGTAACAAACATCAGAGTCCAATCTACTGATGTTGTATGTTTTAAGTTTACAACCACAACTTTTTCCGCTGAATCTGCTTTGAATGTTTGTCACTAATACGAAATAATAATTATCATTACTATGATGATAATGATTTGAACGATGATGATGATGATTAGACGGTAATGGCAATTTCAGAGAGCAAAGTAATTTGTTATAAATGAATAATACAACACTAGGTGTTTCGGGAAATTCAATTAAATACTTTTTCAAAACTCAATCAGATATTAAATTCACTTGGTGTTGTTTTACTTGTATCTCCCCATTGTTATTTAGGACTGCATAATTGATCAGTCTCTTATTGGCATATGTGCATCCTGTGAGGATTGCCTCGATATAGCCTTAAGTCACAAGCTTTTTAAGTGAAGATGAATAGTGGTTAGCAGTGGAAACCATTTTGATGTGTGTTTCGTCGTATTTGGGACTCGTCAGCTGGATGTACCTGCATCCCAGAGTTGATGTTTACTCCGGGAGTGACTCGAATCCAGTATCGTTCGCTATCAGGACTCAAAAGCTAAGTGGATAAGGCGAATTTCTTTAATTTTGATAATTTAACTTACTAATTGTTATCTACTTCATTGTTTATTATGAATATAATTTCTTCTAGGTTGATAAATTGCTTGAATTATACCAAAATTATATATGTATTATAGTGAATTGTGACCTAACCTATGATTAAGAATAATGAAAATTATTTGAATCCATTAGGTTGTCTTTTGATTTCAATTCTTTCTGGTGTTATCTCTTTCATTTTATTGATTTTTCGGATGTTAGTTAGTCTTTGAAAATTCTTTTGATGTATCTTTGATTCGTTGTGCCTCTCAAAGAAAGATTCATAGTTGTACGGAGTTCATCTGTCATAGTAACTGTATACAGGATTCAGTATTTTTCCGACCTCTGCAAAATCTTTTTTATTTCTTGAACTTGATCGGAATAAATATGAATTCTTTAGATTTACATTCTGGAGTTTTTGAATATCACTTCAATTCATTCTAAATGAATCCAAATACCTTTAACGTTATTATTTGTTGAGATTTGAAGCATATCTAGTTTTTTAAAATCTTATTCAGTTATCGTGGTAACAATTCATGACCGAATCCGGGATTTATTGACCATTCGGATGAGAGTTTTGTTTATTCTGATGGCTGAAATACCTCATTTCGATATATGGGGGGAGGAACTGTGCATTTATAATTTACGAGAATAGTTTTTTTAGTTTCAAACCCTCTGATCTGTTTGATTTATACTTAAAGCTTTCATTATTTTACCACTTAAATATATCAACAGAACCGACTAGCAAAATTGAGTCAGGTGGATGTTCCATCAGATTTACTTTACTAACACGAGATCTAGTTGATTGGCGAAAGGGTTTTATTATTTCTACCATTTATCGCTATATTCCTATTAGCCTGCTTTTTTGAAATTGTTCAAATGTACAGTAAGAAGAAATACAAGTCTATAAATTGACGATATAATCTCTGAGGCCACAGAAAATCCGGACAAAAAGAGCAGACAAAAAATAAAGCCGAAATTTACTAATGCTTATTGAACCTCTCCTGTTCCATATTGTCTCAATATAACTAACGTGATCGGCAACAGTTGCTGAGCATCAGTTGTAGACTAAAAATGAATATTCACGTCAAGCCATTTTACTCACATAACTTGTGCTACTTATAAGTAGCTTACAAATGTATCATAAACTTTACACTTTTGCTAATAGTATCTGAATAATGATAGAGATAACGATATCATAATAAAATAGACCAACCGAACAGAAAGATTAGGGGTTCACTTCATTTAGCAACAATTATTCAGCGATTCAAATTGAAAATTAATGAATTCAAAGTTGTGATAAAAGTTTAATAAAAGAAAACCTAGTTGAGATAATGCTTGAGTCCCGGAGCGAACATCAACTCTGGGATGCAGGTACATCCAGCTGACGAGTCCCAAATACGACGAAACACACGTCAAAATGGTTTCCACTGCTAACCACTATTCATCTTCACTTAAAAAGCTTGTGACTTAAGGCTATATCGAGGCAATCCTCACAGGATGCACATATGCCAATAAGAGACTGATCAATTATGCAGTCCTAAATAACAATGGGGAGATACAAGTAAAACAACACCAAGTGAATATTCATTCTAATATTGACCACTATTCATATAGAAGGTTTATGTTCATTGGATTAGTTTACACAATAAGTAAGCATATATCAAATGACCTTAAAGATACTACATAGTAAACAGATAAATATTTATTATCATTTATTGAAAAAGAAAAAGAAACGTAGATCCAATAAACAAATGCATTAATGAAATCAGCTCATTATTATTATTATCATTATTTATTTAATTTATATTTTCAGTTTGGGGCGAAATTAAAAATCTTTAACTAATTTGAAAATCAAATTCAAAAGTTAAAATAATTTAGAGAAAAAATAATAATGGATTTAATACAATCAAACAAAGAAATTATACATAATTTCATTGAAGATTATGATGATGATTTTAAAGGTGTTAATAACTCCACCATTACTACTACTACTACTACTATTACTACTGATGATGATGAGGAGGAGGAGGAGGAGAAGGAGGAGGAGGAAGAGGAAGAAGAAAACAAAGAAAGGAAAGACAGTGATATAAATTTTATACAACGACTTGGCATTGAATTACAAAAACGTATTGGTCTATTACCTAAAGTTGAAATATTTTCATTTATATTACGTAATATACCTAAAAAATTAATAAGAATATTATGTGTTAAACCAAAATCTTATACAGAAATCTCACGTACAATAAGAGCAGCAAGAACAATGAAATTAATTATTAGAGCTTATAGCCATTTATCATCATCATCATCCTCATCCTCATCATTATCATCATATAACTTATATGATACAAATAATACTGTATTCATTGATTTATCAGATTTATCTGATTCACCAAGAATTGAATTCATCAATAAAAAATGTCCAATTAATGGAAATGAATTAAATGGTTTAAAATTATTATCATGTGTTACTATGAATGAATTAATTAATTATCAAATTAATCATAATATTGAAATTAATCAATTTATTGATTCATATTCAATCAATAATACAATCATTGGTACCATTTTATCAACACAATCAAATTTATATAATCCATATAATGATTTAATGAATGAAATAATTTCTATACGTATAATTAATTGTCATGGTGATTTAATTGAATATTCAAATCAAAATGAAATTTTAGCAGCTATTTCAAATTTAGGATTATTAGGTGTTGTTTATGATATAACACTTAGATATACACCAATTACATTAACAAAAGTAAGTAATTTATATTTATTATACATTATATTAAAGATAGTTATGTCATATCACAAATGGAGTATGGTTTGTTATTTAACATAAATATTACTACTATGGAACAATATATAGAGTTAGAACAATTCAAATAATGTTGATTGATGTTTGTTTCATAAAGCTTTAGACTTTCACATTAGTCACTATAGTTTATTTTTCTTCTGTAGATTTTATCTTCACGAAGAAGATGTAGAAAATACTGACCATTTTTCGTATGGTGTTTCTTTTGTAATATATATATATATATATAGTTCTATATCGTCATTAAATGTTGATTAGATAGATTTACTCATCAATATAGACTATGTTTATTAACCTTTTAGTTTAATTTCAAATATATTGAGTCAATATGATAATTGGAAGTATTTGAATTATAGTATGAACTAAGAATCCCAGAAATAACGTAATCGGATCAAGAAGTACTAGATAAGCACGAACGAATGTACTGTATTTAGAATTCGAAATCAAACATTCTACAAGTACAAAGAAACCATTAGTTCATTCAAACACCACAGTCGAATAGCATAATCTGTTTACTTGCATAGCCATTATACGATATTAGCAGACAATAAATCTTATTATTGGTATAAGGGTTTATGGAAATTGTTTAATTTTATGTTTTACGTTATGGAATGATCTTAGTTAGACAGCGATAGGAAACCAGTAAGCTTTGGGTAGGTACTTCATCTTAGTATGAGACTCCTCAACAGTGAACATCCACCAGTGATTAAATCTGGAACCTTCTGATTTCACTACAATCTCTAGACCTTTGGATCATTGAGTTGTCATCCAAATGTATAAATATCTATTCAAGGTCAGTTTGTGATGGTAACAATAAAATCCAACAATCTGAACAAAATGTTTACGCTAATAGTAATCACGTTTTCACTAGTGACTAGTTTCAAAAGGGAATTCTCGGAGTTCTAGTTAGATGCTGTTACCGTTGGACTTCAGCCATATCTGTTGTGAAGGAATTGCCCAACTATGAAATTTTAAGATGGTTAGGCTAAATCGCGAATCGATTGAAAATAAATGCATAAACTATTTGATGACAACTTAGTAATTTAAACGTTGAATACCTACCATAAGACCTGATGTTAACGGACTCAGTCCTGGTTATAAGCATGGTGATACACTTCTGATAAATCCCATGCAAGGACGAAAAAACCATCAAGTACTTACTAATTTTTTTAATGGTTGTTGAAAGAGCTCCCGTTCGTGATATAAACACTAAATCCTATTATCGTGTTCACTTGAAAACATTATCATTCACATATTTCAAATAGCATACAATGAATACAATAAAGCAAAACATTGGATAAAATTATATTTTATGTGTTAAATAAACCAATATAAGGATTTAATTCATTATTTTCATGGGATTATATGAATGGCTTTCATTATTTATTTGGTAAATTGATACTTTTCAAAGTTGGGAAATATCCCACTTTATGATGTCATATATATTTTTTTTGAAAAATGTTTCCTTTCAGGTGAATTATCGATTTTATAAATGGTCATATTTATTGAACATTGAGAATAATATACTAAAAGATGCTATAACAACTAATCAATCCATTGAACTAATCTATTTACCATATAATAGTTGTCGTACTATTTCTATTAAACCATCAAATCTTGATTCAAATCAATTGAGTACTAATGACAATAATAATACTGTTGCTGATACTGCTGTTGTCGATGATGACAATGATGTTGATGATGATGATGATAATATTGATGGATCCGTAGATTTAAAAAATTGGAATATTGAAGAAGATGAATTATTGTTACGTACAACAAAACGTTGTTCACAAAATAATTATGATGATCATATTACTAGAGAAATAAAAAATAATAATCATAGTAATAATAATAATGGTAATAATAATGATCCTTCAATTTGTTATGATTCTGATCCACAACAATTTGTTTATTTGTTGGATCAAGTATTTGGACCATTCAGTGAAGAATTTATTGAACAACCAGAAAATACACCAAAATTATTGAAAAGAGCACATCATTATTTAAAGTGTAAATATTGTCCACATCCGACAATTATTCAGTATACACCATGGGCATTAAATTCATTTGGTAAATTTAGGGAACCACTAAGAATATTAAAATTTACTATGGAAACAGACTTTGAATTAAATCGATTTACATTAGTAAGTGATATGCTTAGAAGTATATTGACTTAATGCATTCAGTAAGTAAATAAACAGTGTAACAATGTCCAGTTTGATTTTGACTCAGTGAACCTATTTTCTATAAAAAACTGTGTGTAATGTATTGATTGATAAGTAAAATATTAAAAAGAAACGATAGATGACCAAAGTAGATGATCTATATCGAATGATTGGAGGCCTACTCGAGTTAGAGGGGAATGATGTGACCAGCCAGCTAACGTCGAAGTTATACCTCCCGGTTAGTATCTAACCTGGTTCTATGGCTACTTTGTTGACCGTACAACACAAACGAAGTTATCACAGAATATATTGGCAAGAGTGGGTACAAAAAACAGTGTGATCATCACCACATGGACTAGTGCATGATGTTCAACTAACTGATGCGCGTTGGTTGCATTTGACCTTGACGAGGATCGGTGAACTGTTAGATGTTTGGTGATCCAACTGCTGGATGATTTGGTTAGGGCCCAGCGACATTTCACTGGTCCTACAAAACTAACGAGCTAAACGTATGATCTATCATTTCCGCAAAACTAGAAGTAAATGGGTTAGGTCTCAAAGGGAGGTATTAGTACATCCTTTACTAAGGAGCCACCATTAATAGGAAATAGCTCTTCAACACCTATCTGTGATTTATTATACTCCAATCGGTACAGTTTGCGATGAACTCAAACTATCAAATGACGCAAAAATTTCTAAAAGGCGCGTTAGTGGAAACATAATATAATCTAACGCAGAATTAATTTGTGATTATTACATTATTGATGAGCTAACAAATATGTATTCAAGATTTAAATAAGTAATTCTGTATTAGGATTTACAAAATTTATTTACTAAGATGATTTCTTTGCATCTGTATCAACACTGGAATCCAGGTACGTCCAGCTGATAAGTTAGTAATAAAGAGGAACTTATGTTCCAGATTTTACCGCTAGCTAGACGCGATCCAAATACATGAATACTTCGAAGAACTATTCAACCAGTCAACGATCATTCTTTAGTTGGTCACGATTCCTATACAATTAACGAACGAATTATATGCAAACCCACAACCCGCCAGATCTTAGCGAATTGGAAAAGCCTTTGGATAATTAGAAACGATGGAGCAAGTCCAGTTAGGTTAACTTCAAGTGTCATTAACAGCACCAGAACGTAGCTTCTGGAAGCTAGAAGAAATCCCATTTGGCTGACTTTGATTGATGGTTGTCTCAGTCCGTAAGAAAGAATAGATACCCACTTGTGATAATCACATAGGAGTCACTCTGATTAATGCTTTGTCTATGTTTAATGGTTAACTGAGACGTGTAAACAGAAATCGAGGGAGAAATTAAGACAGTTTCGACTACATTTTCACACAATGTTTAGGTTTTCAAACATAGGCGTACTTGAAAATCTCCCATCTATAGTTTATTTCTTGAATCTATTAGGAAAAACGTTTTACGATATTGTTTGACATTGAAAGGTGTAATAAAGAGGTACACAAACTTTCCGAAGCCTCTTGAAACAAAAAAAACATTGTCAAATCAGACGGTTACCAGAAGTGGATACATAAAATGTCGTTCATCATGTTTGCTCTCTATACTCTGTTTTATTTGCTCTCATCACAGATATTCTCCTGTTTACATCTTTTATTATTGTCTAGTTTGTGTGTTACTTATCAATTCTATTCTCTTCTTCTTTGACATTATTTTACAAACCTCATATTCAGGCGATTCATACAATCTTAAACATACTTCATAAATTAGCCAACAATGAAATGCCAAATTATTCAGTTAATCTTGGTCTACGAATACAATTTACACGTGGTACTTACAATGGTCATCTGTTAGGTGTTGGTTTAGAAAGTGATGAACAAAAATTAGGTCGTAAACATTTACTTTTAGCACATATCACATTTATGGGTTTAACAGGAAATGGACCAAACAAACTATGGAATGATGCAGCTAAACAAATTATTTTAACTATGTTAACTAAAATACCAACTTGTATGCCACAATGGAAAACAGAATGGCATGCTAAACAGGTAAGATTTAATTCAATGTCATATGAGGCTTATATTTTAGTGATAATTTCTTAAAGACTCTTCGATAATGGACAGTAACGAATCTGTGTGGAAATGAATTCAAGATTTTTAAATATCTTGATAGGTTTAATTTAGTTGATCCATGAGACCTATAAATTACATATACAGAGTCATGTGTGGTAATAGGTGTATGCTTCTACTTGTTTGGCTGACATTATATCATGATGAAACTGACTTCCACGAAATGAGTACACATAGGCTAACATTAATGTATCATATACTAGATAACGTTAGTAGTTTGCCATATAATGGTTCGAATGTAATATTATAGTTACGTTAATCCAAGCATATGTAGCATAAAAACTTTATTTTCTTATTTTTTTAAATTAATCTATACTAGAGTTGTTATTCTTCCCGTATTTCCAGTAATATTTCAGAATCATTAATTACCAAATGTATTTAATCTTCCATGTTTGCTTTCCTTGCAAAATTAAATACACATGCCTGCTGAATTGTATAAGTGATAATATTGTTATCATGACTAACCTACTTTTTAGTGTCAAAACCCAACCACTGAGTCATAAGTTCGAATCCAGCTCACTGGTATCACAAATCCTAATATAGTGTATATGTACCATTTGGTAGAGAATATAAACCTGTACTTGTTAACCGAGTCACATATTTAAGTTTCCATATGTAAGTAGATGATTTATGGATGGGTTATGTAACATATTTCACTTACTTTTCCGTCATGACTTATTCATTGAAACCCAGCGTAAATATAGCACCGGACACTTCATCACGCATATACAGAGTAGCAATTAATGTGTCATCAATATTTATCACAAATCTATTATTCCTTATGGCAGCTTGGTATATGATTACAGTGAAGTTAGTTCAAGATTTATTGTAAAATGAATAGTATTAAACGGTCGTCTTAACATCATTTAGAACATAATTGCTATTCTATACCAGATAAAGTTCAGAGCTCATAGATTTAATGTTTTAATACAACCATAAGAGAAGTGAAACCTGAAAGTTCTGAATTCTACTGCAAGTGGAATTGTAAAAACACACTGTTGTTCAGTTCTAAAATAGAACATAACAATTTTCATGATCATCAATACTTCCCCAGATAAGATCATTTCTTGATGACAACATCCTCTTTTCATTTTTTAGAAGTTAACCTATTAAAATTTGAAGAATTGTTATATCAGTAAGATATAAACATATGTTCAGAAAAAAAATCTAATAAGTTATGTTTTACATGGAATGGAAAAACCTAGAAGCATTGCACGACCATCTCGTCCTAGTGTGAAACTTCTCAGCAATGTCCGTTCATGACCCAGCATGTGAGACTCAAACTCAGAACCCCGGCTTCGTGCGCAAACCCCTAACCTCTAGATCACTGACCCGGCACCCAATGGTGTTTATTGTCTAACTTCAATCGATCCATGATCGTGAATGCACATTGCTGAGGAGTCTCATACTAGAATCAAACAGACGTCCAGTGCTTTCAGATTTTTAATAGTGATCTAGTTCACTTCGACTCATAAATTCAACTATTAAAATCACTACGATTTCCGCAAACCCCCATTCTAATATCTAATTGTTTTCTTTTTTGCTTACTAAGTTAAAAAAAAACTATCTTTAGTCATCTTAATGCAATACTTTCATATTCCCAATTCTTCCGGTTTATATATAATTGGTTTATCTTAAAATCGATAGATATTCAATGTTGTTACAGTTATTACAACCGTGTTTAATCGGGTAAATTGCCTACAGTCATCCACACACACACACTCACATAAAAACATAAACATACTAAAACATTTCCAAATTTATGATGATACTGACAGAAATAAAATCTTACATAATTTGAATTCGTTATAAAGTTGTCTTAATACCTCAGTGATTAACTATTTTTTGATTATACTAAGCTACAATGATCATGATCTTTTAGAATAAACGATCAATAATATTGATCAATAATATTCACAATTGTGGTGGTCTAAAACCAATCGGTTCATGATCTCAATCAAAAACTTAATAATCTTCACAACCCCTATACTAGTAATCAACATGTGCTCACTAGTGACTAGCTTCGTGAGGGAATTCTCGAAGTTCTAGTGAGAAGCCGTGATCAGTGGAGCTAATCCTTGTCGGGTAGAGACAGGTATCTACCTCAGTACAACGGAAGTTGGTCGCACAATTTCGTGGATTGGTTGATGTTAGAAACTATCACCATTGGATGCCAGCTCAGTGGTCTATTTGGTTAAGCGTTCGCGCGCGAGACCGAAGGCCCTGGGTTCGAATCCCGCGAGCGGGATCGTGGATGCGCGCTGCTGAGGAGTCCCACAATGGGGCGAAACGGCCGTCCAGTGCCTCCAGGTTTCCAATTGTGGTGGTCTAACATCAATCGGTCCATGATCTCAATCAAAAACTTAATAATCTCCATAACCCCTATACTTGTAACATGTAAATGGTTTACTCAAATAATAATTATTAAATTTGAGTGAATTAGATTGGAAATTATTTTTCGTCATGAAAATCGATTATAATACTGTGAATTTCTTTATAGAAAACATTTTTAAAAATTGATCAGATGTTTGTTTACAAAGTCATAGTTTCATAAATTTACTTACGCCTTTTATCCTTCATAGAGGAGCATAAGCCTCCCATCCCAGAATCATCCACAGAACTCTGTCTTGGACAAAGTTAGTTTTTTTGAAAAAAATGTATTTTCTGAGTAAAAATATAGTGACCAGGGTGATCAGCAGAATAATTATATTCATCAGATGATCTAATACATCGATTGATGTTATTATTTTATATAATTGTGTGATTAGAATCAACACCGGATTGATCGAACAACACAATATAGTTGAGATCATTAGTTAATTGAAGATTGATCACCATGGAAAACCCGAAAGCACTGGATGGCCGTTTCGTCCTATTGTGGGACTTTTCAGAAGTGCGCATCCACGATCTCACCTCGCGAGATTCCAACCCAGGACCCATCGGTCTCGCGCGCCAACGTTTAACCACTAGACTACTGAGCCGGCCGATATCCAACGGTGTTAATGTCTAACTTCAACCAATCCAACAAATTGAGCGACACATCCACCATTGTCTTCAATAAGTTACTATCTCACAACAGACCCGATCGAATTGCACTGGTCACTGTTTCTCACTAGAACTCCATGAAATACCTCTTGAAGCTAGTTACTAGTGAGCACACGATGATGATTAATATCAGAAGGGGTTCTGTGGAGATTTTAGTAAATTTATAGTTGAATTCATGTGTCAATTGGAGCTAGACTAGCATGGAAAACCTGGAAGCACTGGATGGCCGTTCCGTCTTGTTGTGGAACTCTTCAGCAGTGAGCATCCGTGATCCCACCTCGTAAGATTCAAACCCAGGAACTATCGGTTTAGCGCGCGAATGTTTAACCTGTAGGCCGTCCAGTGCTTCCAGGTTTTCCATGGTGGTCTAGCTTCAACTGACTCGTGATTTCAACTATTAAATTTACCATAATATCCACAAAAACCCCCTCTGATATATCAATGAATTAAACTTGATCAACGCAATTAAAGACTGTTATAGAAATCACTATATGTATTGGTGGATGTATATGTAGGAAATTAAGTATAAATAAAAATAGTGAAGTGGGACAACTTAAAAACTTGGAAATGTAGAGAAAAGGAGTAATTATTTGGCATGAAGCATAAATTAGATATTCAGATAATGAAATAAATACACAGTTTGATATACAAATATATATGACAGTTTAATGAATGTCATTAAGGTCAAACAATGAGAATCACATTTCTTCAATACAGAAATTAATTAGGAAGTGACTGAAGAAACTATTCAACTATAAGACTTAACAGTAATAAAATCGTTACGAAATAATTTAGAGATGTAAATTGCCGAACAGTATAAAACCAGTGGGAAGAATCTGGAGCTTCTAGAATGATCACATAATGGAAAGTGTAAAATCTATCTACTTGAAAAATAATCTATTTTTAAAACAACTATGATTACAGTATCTTAACATCTATGTTTGATAGAGCTTATTTACCACTGAATTATGATCTAAAATGATGAGGGTTCATAACTCTGGTGTATATTTTTTTGGTTGCGCTATGATCGCAGGATTGAACGGTCTAACATTTTAAAGATTTGATTGTCATTCTGGACATTATTACTTCCTTACTTACCTACTTACTTACGAACATTCCATGTACCTAAATAAATGGTTGCTCTGGTTGTCAGAAGAGACATCAGCGTCGTGACTTCCGAAGGAACTCGGCTTCCACCATAAGGCTTCATAACTCTTCTAAATGAAGACCTTCTGACTCCCAGAGCAGAATTTTAGTGGTTCGAATAATGTTTTTCTGGTTAGCTTTTTTAGCGAGTTAGTTTTCCACGGGATGGGGTAGCCAACCCCATGCCCAACCGTCCTTCTTTATCCGGGCTTGTGACCGGCAGTAGCCCCAGAATGGCTCCAGCCGGAGCTTACTTTTTTTGTAGAAGTAAGATGTTTAGCTAATCCATCGGTATTCAGTCCGACTTTTCTGATGACCTTGTTTGTGAGTGCTTGTTTTTATCAGTTTAAAAGAAGGTTAGTTATTTTTACAGATGGTTTTATTCATCTGGAGAATCATAGAAAAACGGGAAGAAGTTGAAAGCTTAGAACAATTTCTATTTTACCAAAAAAAAAACAAATTCAGGGCTTTTGGATCTATAAACTTTCAATAAATTCATTTAGTAAATAGCAGTTGTGTGATCTTCAAGTGACTAAAATCGATATGTATTACCAGAAGTTTTAGACATATACCGTGATCCATGAAGTTAATGAATTCAGTAATTAAACACCAAGACAGGTTGATGATGTTTAATCATGATCAACCTGTAATAATACACATTGACTAGTAGCAAAATGATTTAACAGCAGAAAAAGAACACAATTGAAAATGGTCAGATTTTGTAATCATTACCACCTAGGAATTAAAAAGTAGTCGAAAGTTATTCATTAACCAATTCATTCCCAATATAGTACATTACACTCAATTTTTGAGTGGGATTCTTACTATTTACACCTCTGTAAATACATGTTGAATGTGATATAAAATCAGTTTAACTGTATTTCAGTCATAGTTTAAGAAATTCACCATTATATACAAGATCAAATCTAAAACGGTTGACTTTCGTAACAGTCATGATTATAAATCCATTTTGTATTGTTTGCTTGAAACTTTCTATTGATGTTTAGGACTGAAACTGATCAGTCTCTTTTTGAGATATGTGTATCCTGTGTGGATTGCTTCGATATTTCCTTAAGTCACAAGCACCATAAACTAGTGGCTATCAGGACTTCGTAGCTGAGTGGATAACACGATAGCGTTTGAAACGAACGATACTGGGTTCGAGTCCTGAAATGAGTATCAACTGTGGGATGCAGGTACATCCAGCTGACGAGCCCTAAAAAGGCGAAACGTGCGTCCTGGATCCCACTGCTAACCACCATCACTCTTTGCTTAAAATCGTCATCATATTTCAAACTATTCAGTTGGGATTCTCAATAACCTTCATTCTTAACTTCAGTCAATTTATGATCTATGATTATTCTTATTCAATGACACTCTCTTGATCTGATGATAAGTCGTGATAAAAATTCCGATTTCAATTAAACAGTCATCACAAATCCCCTATTTTTCTTTTGATACATCAAATATTGAATACAATAATAACAGTGTACAAGTGAATTTGAAACCATTTGACATCATCCATTTTTATGATTAACAAATTTTTGAATAAAACACGCCGCTAGGAAAGCCCTACTCACTGCCTTCTCGTGGCGAATGTCAGACGCTTCCATCGGGTTGGTGGAAACGAAGAGTCCACCTAGGGATTTGGAAAATCCTCATTCCAAACCAATAGTGTACATGGGTTTCAGGATCCTGAAGAAACAAATGGTGTATGAACCAATTGTTATTCACCAGCTACCATGTTACGGCATCTCCTGACGTTGCTCCACTGCCTTATGGATCAGACTTTTGGGTCGAAGGCTCCGGATGTGACCCCCTAAGTAAACCACCTCTTTTGGTTTGGGCACCCGGACAGTATTCCAGTCCTTACACAATCGAATGATTTATGTGGCTCATATCTATTTCGTTCCTCCTTGTACCAATGTTTAAATAAATAAATGACATTAATAACACCTATGATCTAAGATAAACCTATATTCAGTAGAAAATGAATCAACAATATATATATATATATATATATATATATATGAGGTCATCTAAGGTCACTCCTAGCTACAGAAGCATACATACATACATACAGATACATAGATATGGATATATGCGGGTTTATGAGTTCTAATATAAACCGTTTGAGTTGAAATTTCTCTAAATCATATTTGTCGAATAAATGAATGGTGTCTAAGAAAATTGAGAAAAAACTTCTTCTCTTTTTATGTATATCATCTAGTTTTTTAGGAATGTTAAAATGAATGAACAAACGATACAAGTAGGTTTGAGAATGCTTTACCGATAAATGTCCATCTCCTAAAAGGTTTTCAATTATTTAGATTAAATCTATGGAGAGCAATCAATATTGATAAAATTAATCAAATGAGAAAGTTATTATGGATGATCACTGATAAAAGCGGATAATATTGGTCATTTATCATTGAGTTCTGATATAACAATCAAACTCATTTTAATATTCACCCAAGTTCCACTCGTTGTGAATATGAACAAATAGTAGAAGTAAAAAACAGTATGTATAGTTATTCTCCATAGATTTTACAGTCTTATTTAACTGAACAGTCCAAAAACGAAGTACCTGAACTGATTTCTGGCTTATTACAACAAGTGAACCGCGACCATAAGAATGCAGAACGATCCTTCTGGTACTCAAAGAGTAAATCATCCTAATTCTTTAAGTTAGTTAGATAAGGTTCAGTAAATAGTAGCAGTTCAGTCCGTTATGCAAGTCTTAGAAATATAGCATGTACCATATGTTAGAATCTTGGTTAGCAACATCTACTACCAGATTTGAGACGTAGTTCAAATATTAAAAGCATCAACATGTTAGTTGAAATGGGATTTAATGAGACCGAAAATAGGATTTCATGAACCCAGATCCTTAGAACCGATTGTTTATAAGGTGATGATTAGTCAGAAGAGAATCGGTTGCTTACAGAGATACATAGAAATTTAGAAAACAAGGAGGACTAAGTTGAAAAAACTTAAATGTTACTGGAGGAACACAGATAGTTGTTATGTCCTTGATCTGTCTACCTACTACAATGCAGAGGATAACTCGCCTAAATCGAGATTAATACCTTGACGCGATAAGCTGACTGGTTTAATCTTGAGGCTAGTATACGTGAGTTCGAAGTGAGACCAAATGCTTCAGGTAGAGGGACGAAAACTATTCTGTTATCTGATTAGCTGACAAGCGCTTGGGAGAGAGAAGACAAGTCAACTAGAACAATACTCGATTTATTTCCAATTCCGATCTGGTTACGAATTCAGATTACTGTAAAAAGATACACGAATAAATAGATGAATAACCAGACCATAACGCATAAACAATCAGGAAAATACAATCACGTTCAAAACTGGGGATTAGTGTAGAAAATAGAATACAAAAGATTACGTTTAAATTACAATAGCTTTGGGACAGAAAAGGTCTATTACAGTGAATGGTACATCAAAAAAAGCTTATGATCTGTAGACTAAACTAGGGACAAAAATAAATGTTGCTGTTCTACAAGCTTTGAATTAGAACGAAATAACGCCCCCCCAAAATAGTTTCCATAGTTTGTCCGGGATTCTTGTTTCTCTGTCCACGTCAATAGTTAACATTTCGAAATTACCAAAAACTATCAGATGATACTTTCTCGAAAAAGTAACTGGATTAGAATTGATTGACGTCGTGAACTGAGAGCTCAACCACACAACACCATAAACAACTAACTAAAGAAGGTGATCATTTAATATTACTAACCTTATACCATTTTAAATCATACTGGCGTTTAGTAAGAAAAGCTTCACTCATACCTACAAACCTTTCCAGTCAACAGTACTACTTAACTCTTGAACCTGTAAATTGTTAAACAGTCATAGAATTCTGATATGGTAATCTTTTAAATTTATTCAAAAGTATTGTTTTACAGGACTTTACAGTTTGATTTTTAACTCAATATAAAGGAAAGGTTACTCATTGTTGGTTAGTAATAGATTAGCTAAAAGACATGATTTATTTTAAGCTTATTGATTTTCATTAGCTATTTAGTTACTATTCTATAATCGATTACAAAGTTTCTGATTAGAGACGAAAGTCTACTAGGCAATTACTTTCATTTTGGAATCGCTACACTCTGTTACATCGAGGTGAATAATTAGAAGAGATAGAATTTTATGAACTATTCAACAGATGGATGATTGTGTACAGTAACTTTATAATGGCTTAACTGTAAGCTACCAATTAACTATTGTTATATGTTTTATCGTTCCTAAATTACCATTAATTTATTATGGACTTATCGCTCGATTTTCTTTTATCACATTGGGAGTTTTATTCGTGGTGATTTGTGGTCATGTAACTGATATATTTAATCCTTATAACTTTTACGTCAGATTAATAAATAACAAGTAGAGGGGATATCGGTTTGTTATCTTTGTGTTCTAGATGACATATAAGGATAGGAGCTGTATAGATTTCTGATTGTCAGTTTTGTTTTTTGGCCGAACGTATCATCAATGAGCTATATTATCTAGTGACTCAACCAATGGAGCATAAAAAGCTGAAATCTTAACAATTTGAATTTTATATAATCAATCTAAAAGAGTTGGTTACAATATTTTTCTTTTCAATCTACGAAAGTTTTTGAAATAGAATTCAGTCATTTAAGAGTTAAAAGATAAAATAGTGTTTGGAGTTAGTCAAAAGGAAACCCTGGACCCAGGTTTCGTGCTCTTTGGCACTCGTCAGCAAGTCGTACCTGTAATCTTGAGGGAACCGATGCTCCCTGACGGAATTAATCCCGTGTCACACAGCTTCACAGTCAGAGACATTACCATTGGGCTATCCGGGCCGCGACCGACCTTCTTAAGGACTAAGATGTATTCACAATTGATTGATCACTGAGTGGGGATCAATGTCATGTGTGTCAGATCATTCTTAGTGCAGATCGAATGTTATCTCAACATAATACGCACAATGTCGAGTCACCTAGATTGGTGGCCACATTAAAACTTGCTCGATAGGATCCGATCTGTACTAAGAATAACCTGACACATGTGACATTGATCATCACCCAGTGATCAATCTATTGTGAGTTGAAAGATGTTGATAGACTGTTGCTTGAACACTGAATACCACACTAGTTAGTATTCTTTCGTAAAAAATTAATTATATTTAACGACATCAAACTCGGCTCATTTTTTTTGTTTCTTTTTTCTAAATTATTATTACTATTGAAAGATTTTACTCAATAAATTTCGTGAAGCATTTAAACAAACAAGTGAACCATTTAAACAATTAATTACTTTGGCCGATCGTGATGGAATGTTTATGAATAAATATTTAGCATCCATTTTTTATTCAAAATCAACATTCTATCATAATTTATATCAATCTCAAAGAAATGATTACTTGGCAACTATTTAAAAAAAGAACAATATAAATCCATACATATATGAATGGATGGATGGATGGATGGATGGATGGATGTATGTATGCGTATATACGTATTATTTGATGTTGAAAAAAATTATAAAAGAAATAAACAAATGAAAAACTAAATGCAATTATTTCTTTTATTGAACATTGAACATGAATGGAATTGTTTTAAATTTAAAATAATTAGTCTCTTTGATAAATTTCGATAATATCAGAAGGGGGTTTTTGTGGATATTATAGTAATTTTTATAGTTGGGATCATGAGTTAATTGAAGCTAGATTATCATGGAAAATCTGGAAGTACTGGATGTTCGTTTCGTCGTAGTATAGGACTCCTCATGAGAATCGAACCCAGGACCTATCAGTCTTGCGCACGAACACTTAACTTCTAGACCATTGAACCAGGATTTAACGGTGTTAATCTCTAACTTCAACTAATCCATCAAATTGAGAGACACATCCACCATTGTCCTCGGTCAGTTACTATCTCACAACAGACCCAATTGAACTGCTCTGGTCACTGCTTCTCACTAGAACTCCATGAAATACCTCTTGAAGCTAGTCACTAGTCAGCATATGTTGAATAATATCATGAGTGGTTTTTTGGATATTATAGTAATTTTAATAGTTGAGATCATGAGTTAATGAGAAGACGCAGGTTATCAGAATTATTTGATATATTTGCACAATACATTTCGAACAATCTGATCACAAATATACTTGTTAAGACATTTTCATGTGAAAATTAAAAAGTCAACTAGACAGTTGGAAGGTAAGTTGTAGCAAAGAAAAATAAAGTACACATAAACAATGTGATAACCACTCTAGAAACACGTACATGGCGAGGAGCAATCGTGATTTGTAATTAAGGGTGGCAGAACATATATCCAAGTAGCTGCAGAAACAATCCTTCTGTAACTAACTCTAAACGTTTTTAGCTAGCAGCTAGTTATAGTTAATCAAGCTTCTCAGATCAATGAGGAAGAAAATAAATCGAGTCACTTTACATATTCGTTACATTACATCAAGCGTGGTAATAGAGCTGCTATGAAATGTCATGCATAATGTGAACATTTTTGGAATTCTCCCCGAACTGTTTACTTTCATGCTTTTCCTTGAGTGGATTATATCAACTTTTGAGTTTTCTCTCAAGACTACAGGTTAAAAAGGTAGACACTCCTTCGTGTATGTATATAGCTTCGTTTACCATAATTCTAGAGACTGCCTTCATGCATTATGAGTGTCTCTGTTAAAGTGAGAGGGTGGAAACAAAAATCCATTCCTGAAAATGGCCTGATTAATAATCAAGATCTTCTTAGAGAATTCGAGAGGATTTTCTCCTAAATCAATGTCACGTGTGGGACTAAGTATCCCCAGATATTAAATGATTTATGATTTATATGCAGCAGCTACTATGAAGTTTTATCTCCTAACTCTGCTCCACTGTCTTTTAGTACACTAATCTTATAAGATATTTTACAACTATAGTTTTGTTAGAAACATGTACAAAGGGATTCAGTTTACGGGTAAAAATATTCATATAGACTTACTACACTCGCGCAGTATATATTTCTCAGTTAATATACTTACTAAAGATTACGAAAATTAGTCAAAACTACAAGCGTATCCATATATAATATTAGTTGATAGTCGTATAGTATTAGGTGGAGTGTTATAAACCGATTATGACAAATTCGAAGTGCTCGATTCTGTGATGGAAGATCTGAAATTAGGGGACAAGACAACTGTTTATCGATTCATAGTTTTAAAGGGTTCATCAGTTAACGTTAGTTCATGACGGAAAATATATCATATTAGATATTGGCAAACCCTCTTCCAAGTCTTCTAATATTCATCTGATAAAGACTTTATGATTAATTATTACATTTAACATTCTTTTCTAGTATTCCATACTGGACAGTAACCTAGTGAGAACAAAGATAAAAATACATTTAATATAGAAGGGTAAAAGTATAAAATTGAAAGAGATAGTGTTTACGCATCTCATGCTTTTGAGATTTATGTTTAGCTTGAAGTTACATTGTGTACTGGAAGAGTGTGAACAGTAGAGTTTTCAAAATAATCTGAAAAGAAAAAGAACAAGAAAGAAAAAGTCATCCAACAATTGAATAATTACATAAGATACTCTAACGTCTAATAATCAAACTAATCAACAACAATTAGCATTGACACATCAGTAAGATTAAAACAACCTGATAATCAAAACTAGAAGTTAATAAGGTAATGCTTTGAATACATTACATACAAGTAATTTAAATTATGTGCTATTCCGATCAGTTTTAAAAGTTTCTATCTCTGCAACACAATAAATACATTGAATCATTTGAAATTTGATTTTATTTTATTTTAATAATAAAAAAAATAACACAATAGAAATATTTCAAGACTTGGCAACTGTTAAGGAGATTCAGAAAACTCCTCGAAAAAAAACTTAGAAAAAGCTCTGAAAACATTGAGAAGCATCTTATCCAATCATCATTCATTAGAAGTTTTGCACGAAACATCTAATAAGTGAAAAATCACACATCAAGTTTCTAATTGGATGATTACTGTTGTGGATGCGGAGGAATAGACCAATAATTATCATGTTAAGTCCAATGGTGTCCTTGGACTTTAAATGGATATTTTCTATTGGTCGATATCTGTTCACTTGTTGTATATTGTACAAAATGTTGTTTTCTATTTTATGGTACGATGTGGTGTGCTTGATTGGTATATAAACAAAGTATGTTTGAAATATAATGATTCATATCTCAGAGGCTGTGACTTGTGTTCTGGACTCAACTAACTGGGCTAGACAGGGAAGCGAGACCAATAGAGACTCTAGGCCGTCCGTACGTGTTTTCCGTGTCACTGTACTGCGATCGATCAATAAATACGCTGCTTATCAAAACCTGCAGTCACATCAGTCATAACAATTGGCGACGGGGTGGAGAAAAATTTTGAACCTTGTAATTGGACGAGATTCAGGTTAATTGTTTCGACCAATCAGCATCCAGATTGTCACCAGCGTCCTTGAGCAACATTGGTCATTATTCCTACAGTTAATTTTCATTGCAGGTGCTGAAAAAAAAATGACTACCTTTTCCGATCGATTACAGCTTCTACTTGAGCAACAACAGCAGTGCTTCAAAAATAGCCAGTTAAATTTTTTAGAAAATTTACGCACACTGTTGGTAAATGTTCCATGTTTCGGAGGTGCAACAGAAGTTGGTAAATTCATTTCTCATCTGCAGACTGAGCTGGAAAACAACTGCAGAACATATGAAGCTGTTTATAAAAGCCTCTGTGAATCCCGGACGACCAGTGATGTAAACGAGACAGTTATTCATGGTCCGCCCAGTTGTCCAGAAATGTCAAATTCCGAAACGTTCCCTGTCGTGGGTTCAAATCCCACTGTTCCTGAAACGTGTACAGACAGTGATGTACCCAGCTCACAGGAGGATCTCTTATTAAATGCTCATAAATTAATTGCAGTACCCGCCCACAACGGAACAGGGAACAAATCGTGCGGTACACTGAATCCAGCTGTTTCAAATGGTCCTCATCATTCAACAACAGGAGATTCTGACGAATCTTATTATCTAGATCTTTTTGTACCAGAAAATGTGTTAAATGCATTAAATGATGATCAGAAATCTAATACAATTTTGATAGATGTTGATTATCGCAGTGATCAACTGTTTACAAATGAGATTTTCAACAAATCCCGTGACAATGTTCCAGAAGAATCAAACGTTGGTGACCTCATATCAAGCGACATTGTTCCCCACTATTTAATCACTTTCAGTGACTCCCCTGTTCAATCTGACAATTATGTGTTAAATAAAGTCAAATTAATTCTAACTTGGGAATATGAGGACCCAACATTATTTCGTGGGGGAGGATGAACCCAGAAAATTTCAAAATCCGGATATCAACTCCGGATCTTCAAAAAAAAGGGGAGGTGTTGTGGATGCGCAGGAATAGACCAATAATTATCATGTTAAGTCCAATGGTGTCCTTGGACTTTAAATGGACATTTCCTATTGGTCGATATCTGTTCACTTGTTGTATATTGTACAAAATGTTGTTTTCTATTTTATGGTACGATGTGGTATGCTTGATTGGTATATAAACAAAGTATGTTTGAAATATAATGATTCATATCTCCGAGGCTGTGACTTGTGTTCTGGACTCAACTGACTGGGCTAGACAGGGAAGTGGGACCAATCGAGACTCTAGGTCGTTCGTACGTGTTTACGTGTCATTGTAATCGATCGATAACACAGGGTAGAAATCAACCGCAACTTAAAGTCATAACAATTACCTATACTGGTATTATGTTTAGTAGCATTCCAGAATTTTCCGGAAGTCTAAAGCCATCTAAAATACTGTAAAAACCCTAGGTTTCTTGTAAATAAACAAACATTTGGAGTAAAGCGTTTCTCCTATAACTCACGTCTTTTCCCTCGTATTCAAGTTGCTGTTTAGATCTAACCTAGAGGTTACTAAAAGAGCTTAGAAACTGAATCTAGCATTCAAATAGAAAATTTATCGGTTTGAATAATTTTTCTGGTTGGCGTTTTTTAGCGAGTTAGATTTCTACTGGATAGGGTCGCTAACCCCATGCCCAACCCTCCTCCTTTATCCGGGCATGGGACCGGCAGTGGCCTCAGAGGGGCTCCAGGCGGAGACTATAATTTGCGGACGACTTTTGAGCGACGCTAAAGTGATCTTGAGAGTGTCTACCTACTTACTAGGGCTAAATGAAGGTTATAAAGAAGTTTGAAGAGTAAGGATGATGATTTACAGTTGATGACATCAGCTATAATGCCAAGATGCTATCTCGCCAAATGGGTGAATGAATTTCGCGCTAAAAACCCAGACCTATTATCGTAAATCTGATTGGTTTGTCCATAAATTATAGTCTCGCTGGTTTATCAGAGAATACTAAAACATTTATGTTATCCTCATAGAAATACCTT